GAGGACTATCAGAGACCCAGGCTTCACTCTACAGGCCCAGAAGGACACTGTACAACATTCTCCAAGAGCTTCATGCAAACACGGCCAGCTGTTGGCCACTGGTGATCCCACGTTGAGTGAGACACTAACTGGAGATGCTTTGGTACAATAGACTTGTAGAAGAAAAAGCTGTTGATTACATTTAAATATAGAGGAAAGGAGGAGGAGGAGAGAGTCACTTGGCCTTTGAAATAATTTCCTTTTTAACTTAAGTCTGAAGTACAAAGAGTGTGCCGAGGGTTCGGTGTGTCCAGCTTGCCAACTCGAGAACACCAGATATTAATTTAATTAAAGAGCGGCATACATAGGGGGTGACATACGGTTCATGGATAAAATACTTCCCCAACAAGTATGAAGACGAGTCCCCAGAAAGCATGGAAAAGCCAAGCAGGTATCAGGGCCCCCCAGTAATACTGGCTTTCAAGAGGCAGAGATGGGATCCCCAGGGCAAATTCACTAACAAGTGTAGCCAAGTCAGCAAGCTTTGGGTTTAACAAGAAGCCTCAACAAATAAAATGAAGAGATTGAAAAGGACACCCAACACCCATGTCTGCACACACACACACACACACACACACACATGCACATACATGTCAACACATACATACACATGCACGCAAGCACCACATATATACGTAAGAATATTTTTTTAAATGTCACAAATACACAGCCTTTAAACCTTTAATTCCAGCACTCAGGAGGCAGAGGCAGGCAGATCGCTATGGGTTTGAGGCCAGCCTGTCTGTATAGCAAGTGCAAGGCCAGCCAAGGCTACATAGTAAGACCCTGTCTCAAAAAAGTAGGGTGGGTTGAAAAAAAAATACTGCAGCACCTTTTACAGAATATAAGTGAGTTTCAAAGGAAACAGGTTATGGAGAAGGCCCATGTATTTTAAGTAAAATAAAGGGTTTTTTTTCACAAGCCATCAATGGTAACCCAAAGGATACAAATAGGGAAAGGACACTATTTAATGACTGTTATGGGGATAGCTGGATACCAATATAAAAAATTGGGTCACTTATTACTTCATTTCATGCAATGAAATACAGACTGTTTTAAAAGCTAGACACCATGACAGTGCCGCTAAGGCTGACAGGTTTAGTCAGCTTCCGGTCCCTGTAACACACACCTAAAACAATCAGCTTACAGAAAGTTTTGACGGGTGTGATGGTCCATGCCTGTGATCTCAGCACTTAGGAAGTGGAGGCAGGAAGATTGGGAATTCAAGGTCAGTCCTAGCCACAGAGTAAGCACGAGGCCAGCCTGGGCAGTGTAAGACTTATTTAAAAGTAAAATAAAGAAGAAAAGAGAGAGGAAGGGAGGGAGGGAGGGAAGCAGGAAGGAATGAAAGGAGGCAGGGCTTTGATTTGGCTCATAGTTTGAAGGTTCTAGAATATGATTAGCTGGCCCTGTTGCTTTCAGGGCTGTAGTGAGCTGCACATTAGAACAGCACTATATAGTAGAGGAAAACCTCTAACCTCATGCCTGGAAAAGAAGACAATAAAACAAGCCACGCTCACACACACCCCATGACCTAAGCTCTCCCACTAGGCCCCTCCTCTTAAAAGTTCCATCACTTTGCAGTAGCATCAAGCTGGAGACCCACCAAGCCTTTAACATACAAGTCTTTAGGGGACGGACACCATACGGCATTGCTGTATCAGAATAGCAAAGAAGATGACGGAAACACGACACAGAATTCATAGCCCTCGCATTAATTACTGAAATCAAATTGTGAACAACCCTAAGATCTAGCCGTTGAATTCACTTGTTAAAGAGAATTGAAGAGGGGAGGGCGCCGTAGATAAAGCGCTTGCCACGCAAGCACCAGGATCTGAGTTGGGATCCCCAGCACCCACATAAAAAGCCGGGTGCCATGGTGCATGCCTGTCGTCCCAGTCCTGGGGAGGCAGAGACAGGAGGACGATGGAGGCTCGCTGCCAGGCTAGTCTAGAAAATTTAAGGAACTCCAAGCAAGAGACCTTGTCTCAAAAACTAAGGTTGAGGGGTCAGGGAGACGGTTCAGCGGGTGAGGCACTCACTTGACAAACCTGACAGCCTGAGTGATGGCTGGAACCTACAGGGGAGAGAGAGAGAGAGAATGACTCCACACAGTTGTTCTGACTCACACACACACACACACTCACACTCTCTCACACACACACATACATACACACACACACACA